TGGTTACAGAAGGTTCTGTTGGTTACAGAAGGTTCTGCTGGTTACAGGAGCTTCTGCTGGTTACAGAAGGTTCTGCTGGTTACAGGAGCTTCTGCTCACATGAACAACCGGAGGATCTTGGGTTTAAACGCCTGAAGCGTGCTGCCGTCCATGGTCTTCACCCTCTCCTGGGACTCCATGATGGTCTGGTGGGCCTCGTCAAAGAGCTCCTTCCCGATGGCGGCCCGGACCCGGTCCCGCCACGCACTCAGCTTGGGCCTCCCCTCGAAAACGTCCAGACCTGAACCCACGGGCTGGAGGAGAGAAGAGAACCCAACAGAACCAGGCCTCTGGAGTCAGAATCACTCTGTTTTAATCCCCAAAGAACATTTTTACAATCTGCTGCTCCTCCAGACTTTGTGCTAAATCAGGGACCTTCGGCTCATTCAGCAGATGTTGTGGCTTTTAGCTGTTGTAACTTTTATAATATTTAACTTCATTTACAAATAAGTTCTCAAAGAACAACGTGGAGATTTCTTCACCTGCTTAAAAAATGTTGTTTTGCAAACTGGCTCTTTTTCTTCTTTTATCTTTTAGCTGGTCTTTTACTGCTTTAGCTTTCAGATATCATGTTACTTTTAGCTACCATTCTGCTTATTTTTGCTACATTTAGCTCACCTTTTTGCTATTTTTAACATGTAATTTATGCTCTAATGCATAAACTAGCTTGGCTTTTGCTACTTTTAGCTACCATTCTGCAATTTTAGTTAGCCTCTTTTGCTCATTTTAGATTTTAGCTTGTGTTCTGCTACTTTTATGTTTTACATAGCCTTTTGCTTTGTTTAGCTTTCTTCTGCTACTTTTCACTTTTAGCTGCTGTTCACCTTTTAGTTAGTGCTTTGCTTCTTTTAGCTTGCAGCTACTATTTTGCTATTTTACCCTTTTAGCTACGATTTTGCTACTTTTATCTTTTGCTATCATTTTGCTTTTTTTTACTGCTAGCTCTTATTTAGCTACTATTTTTTACTTCTAGCTAACATTCTGCTACTTTTGGTTAGCCTTTTTGTCTCATTTTAATTTTTAGCTTGTGTTCAGCTACTTTATGTTTTACATAGCCTTTTGTTTTGTTTAGCTTTATTCTGATAATTTCAACTTTTAGCTGCTGTTCACCTTTTAGTGTTTTACTTCTTTTAGCTTACAGCTACTGTTAACCATTTAGCTATGATTTTCCTACTTTTTGCTATCCTTTTGCTTTTTTAGCATTTAGCCCTTATTTAGCTAATTTTTTACTTTTATCTACCATTCTGCTTTTGTTTTTAGTTGCCGATTCCCTTTTAGCTATTATTTTGCTACTTTTAGTTTTTAGCTATCATTTTTCTTTTTAGCTACCATTCTGCTACATTTAGCTTTTAGCTACTATTTTGTTACTTTTATTATTTAGCTAGCCTTTTGCTACTTTTTGCTTTATGCTACTGTTAACCTTTTAGCTAGTGTTTTGCTTCACCGCCCTTAAGGCCTCTTCACTAAAACCTTTAGCTTTTTTTCCTCCGTCCCCACCGCTGGTCTTCGGCTCACCTGCATGATCTCCACGATGGCGACCAGGTCAGCGAGCGACATCTGGTCTCCGACGATGAAGGGCCGGTCCTGGAGGAACTTGTTCTCGATGAGGTTCAGGGAGGCGTTCAGGTCCTCCAGAGCGGCGTCCATCTTGTCCTTGGGGACGTCCACGCCCATCACTTTAGGAATCATGAGCTGCAAAACAAACGTTTCATCTGAGTGGACCACGTATTTAAATTTATTCAGCTGTTTTTCCTCTGAGGTGCCGGAGAACCAACCCGGAGCCAGAACATCTTGGCCGCATGCAGACGGATGGCCGTGTGCTGCCACGACAGGTACTCGTTGACCCGAGCGCGCTGCCGGATGTCGGCCGGGTACCACGAGTCTGGAGTCTTGAACTTGTCGGCGAGGTAGAGCATGATGGCGACGCTGCAGGGGGGCGGGGCCAAACGTCACTGGTAATGAACAACTTGTGTTTCAACTTGTTTTCGTTTTATATTCACCTCTCAGCCAGGCAGAAGTCTCCATCTCGCAGAGCGGGAAGTTTTCTGATCACGCTGATCTTCCCGAACTCCTCGCCGAATTGTTCTCCTGGAAGAACCGCACAGAACCTCAGAGGCCCGTCCACAAACAGAAAAACTGAAACTGGGCGCGAAACTGTTCAGTGATTTGTAGACATACATGAGTATTTTGAACTGGATTTGAAGGTGAACTGGTAGCCAGTGCAGTGAGGACAAAACTGGTGTAATGTGCTCTCTTTTGCCTGTACTGGTTAAAAATCGGGCTGCTGCATTCTGGACCAGTTGTGGAGGTCTGTCTGATACCAAACAGGAGTGAATTGCAGTAATCAATCCTAGATGTAATGAATGCATGTATTACTGTCTCCAGGTTTTTTTTTGGACAATATGGGCTTCAGTTTAGACAGCCGCCTCAGTTGGAAGAAGCATGATTTAACAATCATGTTTACACGATTAAGTTTCAGGGAAGGGTCAGTTATCACTCCCAGATTAGTGACTCTTTGTTTTCCTGACAAGGATAGAGTGGAAAGGTCGATGCAGTGGTTTATGATCGTGTCATTGGGAGGGAACAACATGACTTGAGACTTCTTTTCATTGAAACTTAAGAAATTTAAAGCCATCCAGTCCCTGATGTCAGCCAGGCAGTCGAGCAGAGGTTGAATAGAGCGTGTACCATTGTGTCTTAGGGGGAAGTAAATTTGACAGTTGTCGGTGTAGAAGTGAAATGGTATGTTGTGTTTTTGGAAAATAGCACCAAGTGGCAGCAGGTATAGAGAGAATAGGAGGGGACCCAGGATGGACCCCTGCGGAACCCCCCATTTAAGCTCCGTCGCTGCAGAACTAAAATCGTTTATGGAGACACAAAAGGATCTGTCAGCGAGGTAGGATCTGAACCAGTTGAGGGCTGACCCTGTGATGCCCACCCACTGCTCCAACCTAGCAATGAGGATCTCATGGTCGATGGTGTCAAAGGCGGCTGTGAGGTCCAACAGGACAAGCAGTCCAGAATCACCAGTATCTGTGGATCTGAAGATGTCATTAAAAACCTTCAATAGGGCAGTTTCAGTGCAGTGCTTCAAACATCAGCGTCTGTCTCATGATATGTTACATGGTGTCAGGAGTGGGATTATCACCTGCTCATGGGAAAAAGGCTCAACTCAAAAATACCTGTGACAAACATATTGTTGCAACCAGCTCTCCATGAAAATGTCAGGAGCAGCCTAGTACATAGTCAACAAAGAGAGCAACAATACTTTGATCAAGGAACCAGGATGCTGCCTGTTCTCCAAGATGGTGATAAAGTGAGGATTAGACAAGGCAATAAATGGGAACCAGCCACTGTGGTACAAAAACACAGTCAGCCAAGGTCATATGTTGTTAAAACCACAACTGGAGAACTGTACAGGAGGAACCGCAAACACCTGCTCAAAACAAGAGACTGAATTTCCAAGGATGCCTGATGATAATATACCAGAGTACTCTTATCAAGAGGAGACACAGAACACATGGCCAAGTACTGAACCTCCTCAAGATGCAAGAAACATGCAAGACACACAGCCAAGTGTCGAACCATCTAGCTCTACTCCAGACTGTTCCACACAGTCCAACAGTAGTGACTGACAGTACTATTTCTTCTAACAGTCCTGTGAGAACAACTCGCTGTGGAAGACCTGTTAGAAGGCCACGACGTTATATGGACTGAACGTGATTTATGAATTTTGCTAAAAGTTAACTATGAAATTGTTATGAACTATGAAAAAAAAAACTTCAGAGAGGGAGATGTGATGTATACTGTATTGAGACAATCCAACATTTTTCAGTCAGGTCATCTGGACAGTTTCTTTCTTTTTTTGGTGCTGAAACGTTTCGCCTTCGGTCCGGAAGGCTTCATCAGTCGAGGAAACACACAACAAAACTGATTCTTCCCCCAACAGCTTACTCCAAAGTGGAACAAACCAGTTCTGCTTGTGATAAGATGGTCTCTTCGGTACGCCCCCTCCTCCATTGCCGGCCCCCTTCCTTGTTGACAGTCTTGTCAAACTGGTTGAAAACAACAAGGCCTTCCGGACCGAAGGCGAAACTGTCCAGATGACCTGACTGAAAAATGTTGGATTGTATACCTGGATTATTGAGCATGGACTTTGTTGTATTGAGACAAGTTAATTACTTTATATTGCCGGTAGGTGGCACTGTGCTGTTATAAAAGACCTGAATGATGACAGTAAAGGGCGTTGTCTTCCAAACATCAGCGTCTGTCTCATGATGTTACTTTGGTTCTGGCTTCAGTTCTGGGTAAACGTGGCTCCGGGCTTCGTGTGCGCTCTGATCGCAAGAGCCTCCTGGAGGCTGATGGACTCGTGGTCTGAATCTACACGAAGCCCCGAGGTTAGAAAAAACTCTTTCTCTGGGTCGCATCTCCTGCAGACCCACAGAGTTCTGGTGGACCTGCAACATGGCATCAGAATCTTCCATTTTAATCTCATATTTTAATAAATCCACTAAACTTTGTTGACTTTTGTGTCCACCGCAGCACCCACTGTAAAGTTTTAAATAAAACATAAAAAGTTGATCCTGAACCGGTCCAGTTTGACGGAGTTTACTCCCGTAGTGAAATGCGGGTACGCACTCGATGTAAACAAAGCGCCTGGCTGGACGAAAGCTACACGAAAGCTTGAGTGATCCACCGACTTTATCTTTATTTGAGGACAAATATAGAAGAATCTCTGGGAAGAAGACGTTTAGCTCGGCCGACATATTTTTATTTTATTTTCCTAAATCTAGTCTAAGATTGTTTAAAGTTGGGAACTTTCCATGGGAATTACCGGGAGTTTACAAACCTGGAGTCTAGGATACTGAAGGTTGGCCCTCCACGAGGATTTTAGACAATTCAGTGGGAAAATTAATAAAATGTTGAGTAAGATTTAAGAGATTTAAAGACACACTCCTGAGTTTAACGAAGTTGGTGAGGCCACTGACTTACATGTTGAATTTCACTTTATTTCTGGATGGGTGGTGTCAGGGTGTTTAACATTTACATGTTTTTGTTGTTCAGTTAAATAAAAATTAACACTTGACTGAAGTTATTCACTCCTTTTAAATTTTAGCTGGTATTCTGCTCCTTTAAGCTAAACTTTGGCCACTTTGAGCCTGCCTTTTGTCACTTTCAGCTCATGTTCTGCATGTTTCCTTAGAAAATACCATTTATGTAGTTTACGTTTGAAATATTCTGTGATTTAACTTCAGGGTTTTTTTGTGTTCAGCCTCTTTCCCTGCAAAAGAAAACTCCAACATAATTTTTTAGCTCTAATTCTACAAAACCAGTTATACTAAATTAACTGCTCTGGCAAGTAAAAACTAAGGAACAAGGAGTTCCTGAACATGTGACTCACCAGCGCAGATGGGGAAGTTACACTACGACTAACATTCTGATTCCGTGCAAAAAAAACCGTGTGGATATTAAAATAAAAATGCAAGTACTACCTGAACGTTGTTAAAATGTGAACTTACGAGCGAGAAGCTGTCATTTCCGAGCACAAGTGAATGCAGCATTTTTTAAGTTCTCACTCTCTTTGAATGTTCTCAAAAATAAAAAGAGCAAATTATCTCAACTTCTTTGGTCGCTTAGCAAAGCTTTTATTAAAAACATCACGTTTCTATACACTGAACATTTGAAAGCGCCGGGGATCGAACCCACGACCTTCCGAATGAAAGCCCGTCGTTTCCCGCCGTCTACTGCCCTTCAAAATAAAAGCTTCCTGAACATTTTTTCCCCCTGACCGTTAACTCACCGTTCATCAGGGAGAGTTGCTTAAACTCGAAGGGAATGTTGTTTTTCTTGGCGAAAATGTAAACGGAGCGGCAGGGCTGCGAGTACAGGTCCAGATACAGTTCTACAGCCATCTTCTTATTCTTCGTTTATATGTAAATCAAGTTTAAAGAAATAAATGCGCAAAAAATAAAAATAAAGCTGTAGCAAAGGCGAGGCTGCGACTCTCAGACGAGCAAGAGAGGCGTTAACTTTCCTCTTCCTGAAGAATAATTAAAAAAAAATAACCACCGGAAGTTCTGACAAAAACTTTACATTCCAGGGGAAAAGTCAGAAACGACACGAGTCGGTTCCGTTAAGCGGGGGAGCTGCGCCCCCTGCTGTCTGAACACTGTAACTGCACCGCGACTACCGAGTCTTGTTTTACATCATTCTTTTCTGTTTCAGGTGATCCCTTTCAACGAATTATTAAATAAAAGCTCAGCTCAGTTTTTTTGAATCGATAAAATCAGCTTAAATGGTTACCGAGGTGTCTTTTTGTTGAGGCAACGACCTCACAGTGGTCGCTACAGTTGAATTAAACTTGGAGCAGCAGAATAAAACCTCTGTACTGTGCTTCAGTGGAATACCTTTTTTTTTTTAACTTAAAATTGATTTTCAGGGTTTGAACTTTGACCTCTTGGGTTACAATAACACCTTGTTGTTGTTCACCTCTGGTTCTGATCCGATAATGTTAACCATTAATCAGATATGACTCTGCTGAGTCAGCATTCTAAGTTCTCCTGTTTGTTTGTTTTTTTACAGATGTTTTCTTCGTGATCCAACACTTATGCACATTTTGAATTATTTCAGTCGTCCACGTAAATGTTTAGCGCTTTCAGGAAATGAGTGCTATGACTTTTATTTTTAATCTTTCGAACTTTTCAACTTCATTTACATTTTATCGCATAGAAGCACATTAGATGTCTTCCATGCCCTCAAAATAAATTTTGAAATCTGCTTCAGGAAACTGGCTGGGTTTTTTAAGCTACTTTTTGTTTATAGCTAAAATACTGTAATTTTTTTAGCTGGTATTTTGCTAATTGTAGTTAGTCTACTACAACTTTTACCTTTTATTTGGTTATTTTAGCTAGTTTACTGCAGCTTTTAGCTAATCATTTACTGGTTTTAGCTACCATTTAACTACTTTAAGCTAGTCTGCTGCAACACTTGGCTAACCTACTGCTGCTTTTAATCATTGACCGCTATTAGCTGCCATTTAGCTGATTTAATTAGTCTTTTGCTACTTTTAGCAAATTTTCTCTAGTTTGATGTTGTCTTTGGCTACTTTTAGCTTTAACTTAGCCATTTGCTACATTAGCTGATTCTGTTTTTATCAAGTCTTTGGCTTCTTTAAACTAATCCTGTGCTATTTTAAGCTAACATTTCTCCTAATTGTAAAGTACCGGTAATGATTTTACGTTTTTAGGCTCTGTTTCTCAATAGTCGTCGATTATTGTCAGCTTTGCAATTTTGTTTAAAAAAAAAAAAAAAAGAAATAAAACAAACAAGAAATCTGTTTTTCTTCATGTCCATCTTTGAATGTAGTTTGAGAAACATGAACGGCTCTTAAATCTTTTTCTTTCAGCAGCAAACAATAAACCAGGATTAGAATAATAATAAAAAAACCCAGGATGAATTATTGAAATTAGTTTCAGTTCTTGTTTTGGAATGGCGAGTTCTTCACAGGAAGCTCATGACAGTTCTGTTCTTCCCAACCTGGTGAGGCTGCAGTGCGTGGAACTGGATCACAATCCTGCAAAAAACACGAAAGTCATCAATCAGCTGTTACTTAAATAACAACCGGGTTCTTACTTCCTGTCTGATCATTTCCACAAGGCAGCAGAACCAACCAGAGTGGAGCTGGGATGTTCATTAAAGGTGACCTCACCTGTCCTCTGCCAGACCCAGTTCTCTGGTCAGGAACTCAAAGATCTTGGCGCTGTGCTCCTTGTTCTTCTCCGCGGTGTCGGTCACTGAGATGGCCGACACCGTCAGCACCACACACGGAGAGCAGGAACCGCCGATCAGCATGGGCAGCCCGGGACTCACCACCAGATTCATTCTCTGGAGGACAAACAAGAGGACGGATTAGACACGGACAGAGCTCAGCTGAGGGGACGGTTCCTGTAGATGCAGATGTCGTCATCATCATCAGCTGTCCAGACTTCCTCGAGGTTTTAAATAGTTTAAGAACTTTAAATGCTTTTTTCACAGAAACACAGTTTGCTTCAATTTCTTTAGATAAATTGATGAAAAACTTTAAACTTGAAATCTTGAAGCAGCTCACGATTCGATCACATCTATAGATGCATTTCAATGATCAGGTTTGTGAATAAACATCAGGAGGCAGCTGTAAAGTTCTATCTCATCTTATAACTTAGTGTTTATCAACATTGTGAAACTGACAGAGACAGAAATACAAGTTTAAAACTTTAGTTACTCACTTTACTTGTACATTTCCATGCCTAATGAAGACAGCCTAAAACAAAAACCTGCTGATTATCAATTAGCATAGGTGCGTACATGCCACGTGATTCTGTTCAAAATGTTTAATCAAAATAACAATTAGCATAGATGCTAATTAAACACTGAAGAACGCCAGAGAGAAGTTAATGTGATTATTAGCATCGTGTTTTTAACATGTTTAAGTCCTTAGTGAAGACAGCCATGTCTTGTTAACTTTAACTGTTATTTAAAGATTAAAAAAAATTACTCGAGGTTCAGGGAAAAACTTTGAAAAGTAGCTTAGATGCTAACTTAACGTTGAAAACGCCGTAGAACAGCTAACGCAATTAGCATAGTGTTCATCACTGGACCTTTAAACGCAAACCAAACGTTTTAATTCATAAACACGTCTCAAAATTATTTACTGAAAAATAAAAAAAATCAGGGTTCAGCAAACCAGAGCGGGGAAAAAAAACATTTCATTATAGTCCAATAATTATTTCTTGCAACGAATTTGTACTAGAGAGCTACGGCAAGTCAATTAGGACAAACAGCGCGCAGCACACAGTTACGGCAGAGGGCAGCATTTTACCGAACACAACTCATCGGTTCAAGGTCGCCAGCGTGTAATTGTAAAAATCACGTCGATATTTTTGTACTTTGAACGCCGACAGGCACGTCTGCGGCCATAATGACGACCCAGAGTGTTTCAAATGTGTCGGTTTAGTTACTCACGTTCTCCGGTTTGCCCAGAGCCGCCGCCGTGACGGAACAAAACTTCTTCAAAAAGTCCTCAGAAAACGAGCCGGAAGGTAAATTGGTCTGGAGGTCGATAAAAGGCATCTTTAAATGCGGGGATGTGAGCTGAAACCTGCAGCTTGTGAGTCCTGGAAGAAGAAATCTGGAGGGACTGATGTTTGACTACAGAATGGAACCGAAGACCGGACGAGAATACTTGTTCCGGTTGTACCTTTCAAAATAAATGGTGTTGCGTCATGATTGTTTGATTACAACAATAATTCATGTACTGTATATTGTTTATTTATTAATAAAATGCAAGTTAAAGCTTTTTTGGTGCATAAAGTTATTTGACTTGGGTCTCCTTTTGGCTTTTCACTCTTCAGGGGTCTCCAGATGTTCTCCTTCTCACTCTTCTCTGTCCTCTCTAACTGCATCCATATATCTACTCTTGGGCCTTTCTCTTTGTTTTTTCATGGCGGCTGCATTTCTAACATCCTTCTACCAATATACCCACGGTCCCTCCTCTGGACATGTCCAAATCATCTCAGTGTGTCCTCTCTAACTTTATCTCCCAGTTGTTCAACCTGTGCTGTACCTCTCATCATCTCATTCCTAATCTTATCCATTCTTGCCACTCCTCAGGAGAACCTCAACATCTTCATTTCTGCCACTTCCAGTTCTGTCTCCATATAGCTGGTCTCACCACTGTCTTGTAAGAGGGATGCACAATATTATCGACATGGTATCGGCCGATATTAGCAATAAAGTTAAATATCGGCCGTTCCATCAAAATAACTCACCGATATAAAAGTCTTCTGTTTTAAGTAAATTTTTAATTTACGAAACTGTCAATTATGTATAATGATGCACAACTACTTATGCACTTGTCTCTTGTGAACAGGTTAGATATGTGAAAATTTACAAATTTGCACTGTTTGAGTGTTGTCATTGTGTGTCATGAATAAAATTGACATTAAACATAATCCAAGTTCAAGTGTTACATCATTTTCAGCCCTCGTTTTGGCATCTGCATTTGTTAGCAGGCCAAATGGACAAAGACCATGCAGAATATTGTAATATTTTAATTCCACAGCAGAGAAAGCTGTGTAGTCTCTGTAAGTTGGTCTAGGCCAAATAAGTTTTAACATATCGGATATCGGCCAAAAATCCAATATCGTGCATCCCTATCTATGACCTCTACTCTTCTTTTTCTTTCAAGTTCAAGTAGGTTTTATTATCATTCGCATCAAATGTGGTACATGAGGTGGAACGGAATTGTGTAAACAGGGTCCCAGTTACATCCAACAATAGCAAAAATATAAATTGCTAAACAGTAGTAAGGATCTAAGATATAAACTAAGAAATATGCTAAACGCTAATAGTGCAAAACAATACGCTGAACGGCAGCAGCACAAGCATGAGTGTGTGTGAGCAGATGAGTACGAGTGAATACAGCAGCATGAAATAATCAACAGCATGCGATCAGCAGCAGGGATAACATTTCATCAATCAAAGTGGCATTATCGTTTTTTTTTTTCACAGTGATAATCCTGATTAGGGATTTATGAGCTTCAGGGTAGAAGCTGCTCTTCTGCACTTAATGCTCCGCAACCTTCTTTTACTCTCTTTATCCATTAGTTCTTCAAAGTCCTTCCATCTTCCCGTCACATTTTCCTCACTTGTTACAGCATTACCATTCCTATCTTTAGCAAGCCTAACCTGCTGCACATCCTTTCCAGCCTGATCCCTCCATCTTTCTGCTCTGAAGACAGGAAGACTCTCAGGCTGCTCTCAAGTCGAGTGGAAAACTTGGTAAAGAAACTGAAAGTTAAACTGGATTTCTTTTTCAAAAATAGATCCTGTCTAACTTTGAATGAAACGCCTTGTGACTGCGACTTTCCTTCCCTCCATAGACTACGATGACATTATTTACATGAACGCTCCTACAAGAACCTTGCAGATGTTGGACGCCGTCTATCATGGTGCACTAAGATTCATAACTGGCTGTAACTACTGCACCCACCACTGCACCCTGTATTCACTGATTGGACATCATTAAGTTCACGCAGACTCTCACTGGTACAGTTTCATCTTTAAATCACTTCTTGGTCTGCTGCCTTCATACATCTCCTCCTATATGCTAGGAGTCCTACATGTCACTGTGTGAGTGCAGTTACAGCGTGCGCTCTCAGGACATTATTACATGCAGTTTTCCCTCTGTGCAGACTAAACTATGCAAAAGGGCCTTCTCCTCCTGATTCCTGGGACATCTTGCAAAACGATCTGAAGCTCTTCACCTTGACCTCTCTGAGTGGCTTCAAACAGCTGCTAAGTTCATGTCAAAAACCAACGCAGACACGTTTTGTTTTCAGTATTCTACATCGCTTTACAATCCGCTGTTTTTGTTTAGTTTTTTATACCATTTTCTTTCATTTGTTCCTCTCAGTTTGTATGCTTTTTATGATTGTCTACTGTTGTCATCACTCTTTGTTAAAATGAGGTCTCTCTTGTAAATGAGTCCCATTGGCTCAATGGGACTAACCTGGATAAATAAAGGTTGAATGAAAGTCTGTCTCGCCCTCTTTAGCGTCTGTTTATTTGTTTATTTATTTTGCTTCCAAGCAGCCAGACCTCATATTTATTTCTAAGCTTCCTTGAATGTGATGGTTTCCCAGCATCACTCCAGGTTTTAATCCCCTCATTTGGCTGGATTAATATTCTGAAATAAAAACAAAAACACTAGATTTATAATGTGTCAACTTGACCACATGATGGCAGTGTCCTCTTTCAAACTAATTTGTTAGATTAGATCATACAAAGGGTTAGCTGTTACATTACATCTAATTTATCACATTAGTTTTTATTAAAACAGACGTAAATACAAACATCTTTAAAAAAGTATCTGACTGAGCTTTAGGTAGATGATTTATTGGCTGAATTTATTCCAACATGGGGGAAGGATCAGCTTCAACCTTCAGCCATACATGGTGGTTGGATGCATCACAAATGAGTTCGGCTACAGGCAGGAGGTGGAACACCTGCACTCTAAGTGTAGAACCACTAGACAGAGGAACAGCTTCTACCCTGAAGCTGTTAGACTCATCCCTAACCAGGAAAATCGCTGTAATGCCACTTTAATTGGAGATTTGACACTTTATCTGTGCTGCTGATTATCCGTGCTGCTGATTTTTTTACACATAAGCTGCTATATTCATACCATCTGCTCACAACAGACTCATGTTAAGGCCGCTGTTTTTATTACAACTTATAATATAACTATTGTTTAGTGCATTATATTATATTGTATTATATTATTATTGTTCAGTGTGTGTATGTG